GCACTGTTATCCCGAAGACAATGTCCACACAAGATTGGGTTTTTGAGATGTGATGTTATACGAAAGTAAACATTAAAGTCAAGAACGATGATTCGCCAATAAATTGTTATTCTACGCTTTGGAGGATCTCGTGCAAGTACCTTCCGATCTCAGCGATACTATGTGTAGGCAGCCCAAATATCGCAAGTTCCTACAACTTTGCTATGTAACACACCAGGGGAGGGGGCTTTAGTTTATTCGCTCAAGAAACGTTAAGCATTCTCAGCGCAATCAACCTCAGAATTGCCCTAAAAAGATGGAAAGATTGATTTGACTTTTGATTTTTTGGCTATGACCTCCTGCAGCTATACCATTTGGCAGAAAAATCGTTTAGAATGCTAGCTTGCTGCTACTGCAACCTTCAGAGTACGTCTACAGAATTCACACTATCTATTCAATTTGTAGCTGTGGCGCACCATTCCGAAGCAAGTTAAGGTCTTTTCCTGTGCAAAATCGGCATAATGCTGGACATGAATAAACTGGCTGTAGGAAAAATCTGTATGAAAAAGGTGCTGAGATATCGAACAAAACGTAGATGATTACACCGTGATGCCGGTTAGTCGGTGAGTGTGCAAATGTAACTTGCTCCAGATTAAAGCGCCGCAGTTGGAAAAACTATATTTAAGATCAGTTTGAAGCTATTAGAATATATAAGTTTCCTTCCATAAGGGCGAGCCAAGTTAAGTACAATCTTTTATAAACCTCCCCAATGCAAATTTTCTTCTAAAATAGCTTGGCATTTGTCGAGCTAGGAAATCTTCATAGTTCCATTTGCAGAACAGAACTTGTGGGTTGCTACCTTTCCTTAGGTTTGCATGAATCATATACGAAAGATCCAAGATTTATTTCTAAAAACCTGCATTGATTATAGCAATCGGAGGAGTGGATCAGTGTTTCTAATAGAATTTCAAATGTTAGTCGTATATAAGTCGGCATAACAAAAAAAGATTGCATTCGCATTCTTCTTCTCCACATTACATCCTTTCAAGCACGGTACTATTTCGATTGCATAATGTAAGATTTTTTTAGCTACCGTAATTATAAATGGTTTTGGATTCCCATACTTTGCCCAATGCTTGGTGGTCTACTAGGATCGTGGGCGTATCAGTTCTTCATTGGATTCCACCAACCCGATGATCCGGAAGACGTATACGCTCAAAAGGTAATTAATCAGTTTCTGTCCACTGAGAACCAACTGGGGATAGCGAATCATGAGTTAAAATCTCTATACGGATTCAAATAGAAGAATTCACTCGACAGTATGCAGTTGCTTTGGCAGAAAGGAGAAGAATGGGTAAACGTTTGCTGTGTGAATACAAGTAGTGTTGAATGTTCTTGTGGCTAAGCAACATCACA